TGAGCAACTGATATTAAGTGCTGAGGTGGAAGGCAAATGTTTTGAGAATGATGAGGGCAGCGAATGTACATATGTGCTTGACACAGTGGATGTATGTATGGATTGTGATGAGAATTGTACGAGCCCCCAATAAAATAATTCTAAAAAATTGTTATAATAAAAAAATTTTTAAAAAAAAAGAATTATGTAGACATGTTACCTGTAACGATCTTTTGCATATCAACTTCCATGAAAGTTTGGTCCTGGGATCTCCATATATAATATGTGAAAGAACAACTTATTTAATAGTAAAACATAACTCATAAATAAGTATCTACTTATCTAATTAAAAAAAAAAAACTCGGCTTGTACAGGAGTATATATGGTAGAAGGTCAATAGTGATATAATGATAGTGTTTATCTCTAGGTAATGAAATTATTATGTATTTTTATTTTCCTGTTCTGTTACTTCTGAACTGTTTAATGCTCCCTATCTATAAAATAATTTTTTTTTAATTGGAAAAGTCTAAACTGAAAGACTGTTTCAAACAAATGACAATTGAACAAAATTGTGATATTCTCAAATAATAAATATCAATGTAACAAAATATTTAGATTTACAAGAAAGCATATCATGTTGAAATAAAATATTTACCTAATACTGAAAGCAAGTTGTATCTGCCTCATTCATGTCTCCATAGGTATCTTGTAAGATCAAAGTGGAAAATCACTACCCCTGAGTCGATTCTGACTCATAGCAGGCCCATAGGGCAGGGTAGAACTGCCCCTGTAGGTTTTTGAGATTTTTTAAAATCTTATGGGTATAGATAGCCTCATGTTTCCTGTGGAGCAGCTGGTGGGTTTGAACTGTTAACGTCAAGGTTAGCAGCCAGTATATAGCCCATTATGCCACCAGGGCCCCTTCTTTTAGGGTCACAATAAGTTAAATACAAAAGAGGGTATTATGGGCTATGCTAAGAGTATTCATGACACTTAGATTTTAAAAAACATCTCATTAAAGAAAACTAAACCAATTACATCATCTTCAAAATACGTAAAAACTAATAAACAAAGATAAGTCAAAAAGTGTTAGTATAAAATTTTAGAAACCTTTATTAAAACAAATGTAAAGCTATTGTTTCTCAACATATCCTCCATCTGTGTCTACATACAATTCTGAAGGTGGTATTTCTACCTCTTAAACTCTCCCTAGAGAATTCGGCACTCCTCAATTTATACAACGTCAAAAGAGCAGTTTGGGCATCCGCAAGGAACTCAAATCATACTCCTTTTCATTATTATTTGAGTTTTAGAAAACAAAAAGTCTGCAGCGCATGATGAGATTGGAGGGTGAATTGGGTAAGATTTTTCGACAAAATTCACCCTTGCTATCTTCAAATAATAAACAAGTACATTGTCGTGATGAAAAAAATTTCACTGCAACTTTCCTGGTCTTTTTCACACCAAATGCAGATTCACCTTTTCTTAAAACTCCCTAATTATCTCTCGAAATTATGCTTTTGGAGTTCCAAAAGGCAGTCACCATAGCCATCCAAACTGCCCTCTGCCTTGAATTTAACTGGACCAACAGATCTCCGCAGAAGCCAGTTTTGAGTGGATCTTTTATTATGAACGCACCCAAACAAGATTAAGAAAAGAAACTTTCCTGCGGTAATTCACTGATTGCAAAGACAGTTTTCTAATCATTTGGAATAAACTCATGCATATTTGTACTGAGATCCTAATAGCAATATACTTTTTGACTTACCCTAATGTGTATGCATGTATGAGCTCATTCCTAATTATTCTGTATTGTTTTCTTCATTATAAAACAACCAAAATTCTGTATCTGTTAAAAAATTATTTCACACTTCTATATTAATAACTGCTAAGATAAGTATTTCAGCTATTACGACAATTGCTGAATGAATTCTTTTTAAAAAGTAAACACCTAACTCACTGCCATAAAATTGATTCAGACTCATAGCACTCTACATAGGGTCTCCAAGACTATGAATCTCTATGGGAGCAGATAGCCTCATCTTTCTCCCGCAGCTGGTGGTTTTGAACCATATACCTCATAGTTAATAATCCAAAGTTTACCCCCAGTAGCTTTAACAGGCTCCAAAAAGTTCCTAGAAAAATTCCTTTTGAAGTCCACTCATACAGAAGAGAAAATTTGCAAAAAAAAATCAATTCCAAAAGGAAAAAAATGGTTTTATTAAGGAAGAACAAGGAATATTAAAAAACATAGGAATATTTATGGGGTTTTAAACTAAGCTTTACTGTAATGATGCAAGTTACTTAAGAAGGTAAACACTGCAGGAAATATTTGTAAAAAACTATAAGAGCAAAAGGATAACCATTCAAAGGGAAAACGTACAATGAATTAGGAAGTTGGTCATTTTTAGGTTACACAGACAACACAGCTACTAACTTAGACATGACCTACAACCAAGAAAGACATGTGGCGGACAGCAGGCCTCAATCCTACAATATCACTAAAACATTTTCACACTTAGCATGTGCATGTCATAGATATTTCTGTCAACTCATAGTATTCCTAAATCAAAAATGTAGCATAGTGGAAGATAACTACATGGCCCAAAATACTATTCCTTGAAGTAATGATGATGACCAAAGACTACAACCTTCAGTATGAATGACACCTCAACATTTAAAAAAAAAAAAAAAGAAAATTCCTCACAATTGGACCAACAAACAACATCACGATAAACAGAGAAAACGTTGAAGTTGTTAAGAATTTCATTTTATTTGGATCCACAATCAATGTCCAGGGAATCAGGAGTCAAAAATCAAATGATACTACAGTGGGCAAATGTGCTGCAAAAGAACTTCTCTAAAGCTTTAAAAACCACTGCTGTCATCTTGAAGGCTGCAAGCCATGGTATTTTCAATCACCTCACATGCGTGGGCAAGCTGACAATGGAAAACTGATGCATCTGCAATACGATGCTGGTGAAGATAAGGGCTGCCAGAAGAATGACAACTGTCTTGGGAAAAGAATAGGCAGAACGCTCCTAAGAAACAAGGGTGACAAGACTTCACCTCTTGTGCTTTGAACATGTCATGAGGCGAGCCAGTGCCTGGAGAAGGGCACTGATGCTTGATAAAATAGAGGGTCCCAGAAAGAGCAGAAAAAAGAGGGTCCCAGAAAAAGACTCTCAACGAGGTGCACTGACAGTGGCTGCAATGAGCTCAAACATGGTCACAACTGGGAAGATGATGCAAGTCAGTGTAGTATTTCATTCTGTGGTATGTAGGAGCATTAGGAGTCTAAAACAACTCAACAACACCTAACTAAAAGAAACATAGTAACAAAAATCACGTAGTTTTTAAAACAGGTGTTTTTGCTGTACATGTCAGAAATTCGCACCCCAACAGTGTGAACTTCCCTAACAACAAAGCAAATATTCTTCAAGCATTAGTGTTATTTATATAATTTCTTTTAGTAGTCCAACTTACCGAGTGCCATCTGCTTTCCAGCTTACTTTATAAGGCTTCTGTTCTAGAAGTTTAATATTCTGCTTGTCCATGGAAACAGGCTGTGCTCCAGGGAATCCAGACCTTAAATGAAAAACATTTTATTACTATTTATGACTGGTATTCACACAAAGCAATCCACATCTTAAATCAACCTCACGAGTCACATATTTATCACAATCATGTTCTCCCTATCATGAAATTACCAAATGGCCTAACAGCAGCTTCCACAGAAGTGTGAACAAAAGTTATCATTTTCTTGACATTTTAGAATGCAGGTTAACAAGTTCTTATTCAGTGTTTCCCACAGTGTAGGCGATATCACCCCTTCGGAGACTCTGGAATCAGCCAGACAGGCTGCAAAATCCTAACTTATAGGTTAGAGTACAAAAGTTTTCAAATTGCAAAGGGGCACTGAGTAAATTTTTTTTTTAAGGGGGGGTGATAGACCAAATACGTTTGAAAGCCTGTGTTTTAAATTATTCTTGCTGCACTATATAATGCAGGTGACCTACTGGTGCCATGGGTTAAGCAATGGGCTCCCAGCCAAGATGTGGGCAGCTCTAGCCCCCAACCATTCCACAGGAGAAAGATGAGGCAGTCTGCTTCTGCAGAGATTTATAGCCTGGTAAACTGGTAAACTCTCTGGAGTAGTTCTACTCTGTCCTATTTAGTCACGGTGAGTCAGAATCAATTTAACAGCAGTGGATTTTGTTTTCCAAAGCCTCAGAATTCTTAGATAAGGTCAGTATGAATCAGAGACAATTTGCTGGCAGTGGGTTTCTGGATTGTTCTAACAACTATTCAGTTAATTTAAAAATATTAACGTACTTGTTCTAAAAATAACATAGGTATGTTAACAAGTCTTTTACTTAATGGAAAAACTTGGCTCTATTATCTTACAATATCCGATACTCTTATTTCTCCATCATGACACTGCCAACTTTGCATGATACTAGAGATTTGGTAAATTCCATTCAAAAGATGCCCAAACAGACGAAATGTCAGTCAAGATTAAGGTACACCTTAAACACAACCTTTTATTTCTCCAAAATTTTTATATTTTAGTTAAAATTAGTTGTAGTTGATTTATCTGGTTTATAGGTAGATATCACAAGTTTTTAATTATGTATTTATATTACAATGTTTTTAACAATAGTCCTGTTTTACTGTATCTCAGCTCTATGACAATTTTCTGCCACAAATAACAATGCTCAATAGAAATGATCACAGACTGGGTGTTGTGAGCAACAAGAACAGTGAACTTTCTTCTGGGGTCCTATCCCATGAAATGCTTGATGGATCTTTTCAAGTCATGGAGCAGAGCAGAACACACAAAGCTAATTCTCCCAACTGATTAAAGAAAAACTATAGTTAGTCTTTACCTCTTCTCCCTTGGTAAACTGTTACGACTCAGCAGCAATAGAATCCAAGACACAAAATAAACACAGGCGGCTTCAAAAATGTTGTGGAAAAATGGAATTAAAAGATAAGGTAATTTTCCCTAGAAACTTTGCAAAGCCCCCTTGTACTATAGAGTGATAATCTCTGTAGCTGTTAACAAAGAAGGCACCATCAATGTCTGTGTTCATTTTTTTAAAAAGTGTTAAGACATTAAAATGCTTATTACCCTTCCCAGGCACAGAACTGATGGCACTTCTGCTGCACCTCTCCTAACTTTGGTTGAGTTGTCACTTGGGTTACACCTCTAACAGTGATTCCTTCCAAGAAAATAGCACCCTTAAAATAAAAGGAAAAGAAAAGTATTTTATTAAGAGTTCAAATCCATTTGCCAAGAATAGACTGAAAGACAGATTAGTTTACCCTCACATATCTGAGCAAATCAATTGGTAAAACAAAAATGCTTAGCAGTCTATAAACTGTCCTGGGATGGTATTCTAGTTTTTTTTTAATCCAGCATGTGGTTTTGATTGTACACCTGTTACCCAGTATGTGCCCAACACTGCCAAAGACGTCTATCCGCACTACACTTCAGTAATTACTACAGTAATAATAATGTATAAACCACTGACTGAAGGGAGCCCTAGCAGTGTCATGGTTACACGTTGGGCTGTGATCCGCATGGCTGGCAGTTCCAAACCACCAGCAGCTCCTCGGGAGAAAGACTAGGCTCTCTCCTCTCCTAAACAGTTATGATCTCGGAAACCCAGAGGGTCCCCCTAAGAGTCAGCACTGACTCGATGGCAGCAAGTTTGGTTGGGGATTATCACTGACTGAGAGTCATTTTACAAACTTTCTCTCTAATCAGTAATTCTGCAAAGTAGATGGTACTGTGTTCATTTCACAGAGGAGAACCTGAGGCCCAGTGATCCTATATAATTTATTCAAGCATTAGAATCAAAAATAGAACCCAGGTATACACTCTATTAAACCATTCGCCAATAATTCATACCTAGAGACAAGGAGAGATGTAACACATCATTAGTGGGGTACAGATTTTAAGAGGATAAGCACTCAAAATCTACAACTCTATGAGTTAGAATAAGAGTAGGCAAAATGGCTAGGCCACACTGACTGGAATGCATTAATATGAAAACTAAATATTCTCATCATTTAATTTTTAATTTGAATTCCCTAACTTAGAACTGCATAAAGTATCTTATTATAGCTCACAGTAAGCACATTTTTGAATTAGAGAAGTGAAGCAGATGGAAATTTTATACATCAGACCCCTTCCTAAAAATATTAAAAACCAAATATATAGTCTAGATTTAAGCTACAACTACTCTCAGACACATAAAGGATGGCATCAGTCTCATGAAAAATCTATAAAACAACTTCAGTTGTTAACGAAATTGGGGAATAAAAAATTAGGCCTACAAGCTGCAATGATCAATGTTCTGGCAAAAACGTAGCAGTCTGATGACAATGCTAAATAGCATAGATTTTCCCAGTTTTATAAGCAGGTTAAGTTCACAATGAACAAATGTTTTCTAATGTCAGATGGTTCAGCTAAGCACTGAACTGCTAACAACAAGGTCCCACCTTTCTGTAGGAAAAAGATATTGGGAGTGTGTACTTTAATAGGTACATCTAACTAATCAAGAAAATGTATCATTAGGATTTTTTTTGTTATCGTTAGTTTTAGTCCATGAAAGGATCCCAGACATTATCTCAAAGGAGCAAGCAATGTACCTGCTAAGTCATATTCTCATAAGTAATAGCATACACTCAAAAGATGAAAAAGGTGTCTTTGCTTTCTTAGAGGCCAGGAAGAAGTATTACTGTCATACACCCACGAGCCCCGACAGCACAGTGAGTGATGCATTGGACTGCTAACACAGCAACAGTTCAAATCAAGGCAAAAAGATAAAGGTGTCTGCTCCCGGAAAGATTTATAACCTGGGAAACCCACAGGAGGCAGTTTTAAGCTGTCCACAGGGAAATTAAAGAGTCAGAACTGACGTCATAACAGTGACTTTGAATGACTCATAAACTCCAGGAGACTCTGGGGCAATGTGGGATAAGCACTGGACTGCTAACAGCAAGGTCAGTGATTCAAACACACGGGCCCACCCCACTGGAGAAAAATAAGGATGTCTGCTCCTATAAAGATGTAGTCTCAGAAATGCTATATAAAGTCTCTATGAAGTCAGAATGAACTCAAAGATAGTGGCTTTCATTTTTCGTTTAGGTTATAAATCCAAACAGAACTATCATAATAATCTGAATAAAAGCAATCATAATTATATTAATTTAAGAGTCAGGAAAAGAGAACTCTATTTTACAAAAATAAATTCTGATACTGAAAACATCCACTGAAGAATTCCAGTAGACAACTAAAAATCACATGGTACATATAGACAGGAAAATGAAACAACTGAAATTAAAAGCTCAATGGAAGAATTTACAACAGCAATAATAAAGCTGTGAAGCAAATTAGTAAATTGTTAAGGTAGGTCAGAAGAAAATATCCAGGCTGCAAAGTGAAGAAACAAAGCAAGAAAACACCAGAGAATGAAGTGACTGCTAAGGCGATCTGCTCCAGTAAGGTTGTCTTATAAACCCTACACAGTGTCACCATGTGTCCGAATCAGTTAGATGGCAATGAGCTTAGTTTGGACTATTTTTTTTTCCTCTTAGTAACTGGCGAAATGAAATAGAACAAAGATTTTATTTTACCTGTCCGATTTATTTTGACTAAAGTATTATGTCCATCTTAGCGGTCTTTCTCTTAATATTGATGAAGTTCATTGCAAATATTGGGATTCAATGATGCTTCAATATAAAATAGATATTATTCTCAAGATCTAATCCCAATGAAAAAGAAAAAAAAACAACAAAACCTGCAATATGTATCCCATTTTGCAGAATAGTAGGAAAAACAGTGAAGGCACTGTCGTGAACCACTGTCTACTAGTAAATGAGCTGTGGCATTTACAGTTCTACTGCAACGTCACACCTAACTTTTGTTAGGAATTTCACGAATTAGCCCCATACCTGCCCTAAACTTTCCCTTTGACCTATCCCACATACGTGTGCAGGTGAAAATATGCAAGTACAACCTGTACTTCTCTTAAGACTTCATCCCACACACGTGGGCAGGTAAAAATATGCAAGTACAACCTGTACTTCTTTTAAGATTTCCCTGTTAGTCCTCCCCCTCCTCTCGGGCCAGGACAAGGAGATCTAGAGGCAAAGTTACAGTACATTCCCATTAGATCATTTTACTGGGATCTTACCATACTCTGCAAAGAAATAATTTCTCAACCTAATACCTATGAGTTCTCTGGTTCACCTAAGAAACAAAAACAGGCTAATTGTATCTACCTGTAATTTTTCTCTTGCAATTTTCCTCATGGCTATCAACATTTGGAAATAGCCAGAATGTAATCAGCTTATAATCGTAGCTAAAGCAGATCAACACTTCAGTTTCACAAATTTTTTTTTCATTTTCACAAATCTTAATCAATAAACTTAAAAAAGATAAATGTGAATAAAATGTTTCTAAACATTACCAATTTTAACCGTTCCTTTCTCCTTTTGCCAAAGGAAGTACTTGACCCAGGTTCTGAATCTTTTTTACCATCTTCATCCTCATCCTCATCCTCTTCATCTTCAAAACACCAATCTGGCAATAGAGGTGGGGGTGGTGTTTCTTCTATATCACCATAGCGACGAAAAAGTTCTTTCAAATAATCACCCTTATAAATTCCCGGAGGTCTGGCTTGGGCGAAAGTAGCAACTGCTGCCTCAATACTATAGGAAATAAAACAAACATCAGACAAGGTCTTCACTTAAGACAGACTGATCAAAACTCATTATATTCAAGGGTCCATATGAAGTATTAACAGGGGTTTAATCAAATGGGCTAACTGCAGTCCCCACTTTTTAAGTCAACCAATCTATTAAGGAACAAGGTCATTATGAAAGTTTTAATATACTAGAGATATAGTCCTTAAACTCATATGCTATGACTGTAGAGAGAGAGAGACAGACATAGGTAGGGTCTGTGAAAAAGAATTTTTGAAAAAGCTTTGAAGACCGATCTAAGGAAGAAGGACCATCAAGGCAATGTGAATAGCTGTGCGGAACAGTAAAAGCATTGTACTTTAAAGGACTCAACAGATGAAAGCAAGAAGAGTATACAGAGGTCATCAGAGAGAAGCTTTGAATCTCAAACAGGAGCCTGGGGTCATGGTGTTGAGCACTTCAAAGGTCAGACCTATAAATACATGTAGTACAGAATCTCTGAGAATATATGAGTAGGAAATGTATATCAGATGTATACTTCACTTCAGCTGACTACACCCAGGGAAGGGCCTACAGTGTAAAAGCCTTTGTAAACATACACAGTGACCCATCCCTCAATCGATCTATCTATTCAGTTAGCAATACACCATTTTCTTAAGAATTTCAGCTAACTAATTGTCTAATCTCGGACTTAAAATGGCACTTCACAAATACAGGTCCTTAAAAGAATGCTGACTAGTTTAAATTAGGTTGATTGTCCTTAAAACACTCCTATAGCATCATAAACTGTCACTTTAAAAGAAAATGTACTGTTAAAATGGAAAATAACAGCCATAGTAACTTCCAGAGCTGAAATACAAGCACAAAATGTTGGGACAACTTGTCTCTGGTAATTCTGTAAGAAGTGAAAATAATAGGAAGCAAAAATATAGTATATGGGGCTCAAAAGCTCTCAATTAAAATTCTGCTTAGTACAACACATTAGCAGATGATATTCTAAAGACTAGCCATATGTAAAATGAAAACTATGTGAAACTACCTTAACCATGACTTCACCAAAAATGTAGCAATATAAATGCTAAAACAAAAACAATACAACTTTTTAAATCAAGGCCTAAATATAAAGAGGCTTCAAAAAGTTAGAAATAATGTAATTAAAAGATAATGGTATTTTCTCATCTACTTTTTGATGCCCCTTCATATGTTCGCTTGCATTAGAAGAGGAAATCAGTACCTCCAATCCATTTTCTCCACCAAAAAGGCACATATGAGGAAACCAGTGCGGTTGAAACCGTGGGTACAGTGAACACCTGGAAAAGAACACTGGTTTAAAACTGATAATCCACTTCAAATGTCGTTTACTCTAAAATTCCAACTGGCAAGCTTCGGAATATTTAAATAACTTTATACAATAACTATATTAAAGAAAGAAAATATTCTCTTAACTAGGAATAACTTACTAGTTTAAGTTACTTCAAATCTAATTTATAGCACTAGCTACATGGTTAAATAGAATACACTGGTTTATTGGTTAAACACTGTGTCTATTGTCTAAAACGGTCTTTTAACTGAAAGATATCAAGTGTTTTACTAAGGATAGACATGCAGGCAGAACAGGCAGTGAGAGTGGAAGTAAACAAATGAATACACAAGGCTGTCAGAAAGGGTTAACACATATTTCCGAGGCTAGGGGGGCAGGGAGTGAATGGAAGACTGTAACTCCCACTTACAGTTATTGACCTGGGTGATTCCCTCCATCCTGAGATGTTTCCTAGGTCATTGATTTGCTGAGATATAAATAGCTCCCTATGGCTCCTTAAAAGAGCCCTGGTGCTGCTACGGTTAAGGACTCACCTACTAACTAAAAGGCCAACTATTCAGACCCAACTTGCTCCCCTGGAGAAAACACCTGATGATCTCTACGAAAAAAAACTCAGCATAAAAACTCTATGGGGAAATTCTACTCTTTTGAAGAGGGTCTCAAAGAGTGAGAATGGACTGAACACACACAAGAAGGGTCAGTGGTTGAGTGGTAGGGTAACTACAAATACATATCTGTGTATATACATACATATATATATATGTTTGACAGAGGACATGTGTATGTATGTTTACTTTTGCTGCAAATATAACCATGAATGTAATGGAGCATACAGAGGACAAAGATGAAAACTCTTATACACAACCAAACACCATGAGGGAACCAGTCACTGAGCTTAGGGGAAATAAGTCCATAGTTTCAGGCCAATTGGCGTAACACAGTTCACAAAAACAATGTTCTACATCTCAATTTGGTGAGTAGCAACTGGGGTCTTAAAAGCTTGTAAACAGCCGTATTTGTACCACTTTGTGTCTCTTCCCATTCAGAGAAAGGAAGAGTAGCAAAAATCAAAAGACACATAGAAATAATTAGTGCAATGGACTATCAGTTTACACAACCATGAAAACACAACTAGATGAAGCCCAGCTACCACTAACAACCACTGTGAAAGGGATCACATTAACACCCTGGGTAGAATAGGAAAAAAAAAACATGGAACAACTCAAAACCATACACAAGACCAGACTTGCTAGTTGGAAGGAGGCCAATGGCTCTTGCTCTAAAGGTCTGAAACTGAACTCACCTGTGTTTGCAGGGGCAGTTATTTAATGTGACTTTTCTAGCCAAAGTCTCTCTACTCCCGCCAAACAACCTTTCCTGCAGGGGTCTGGTATGAAGGTGGGGGAAGATACTGATAGGATTCACGTGTGAGTTAACTGCACACAGGATTCCCTGGAATGCCATTCTGCAGCGTACAAAATGAGCCTTCTGAGGAGGAGGAGGAGGGATCTCATTACCAGCAAAAACCAGGAGTGGGGCACGTCCTCTGGACCCAAGATCCGTGTACAGTGTACAGTGAATCTCCTGGATCCAGATGACAGCTATAACAGAGGAACAGCAGCTGAACTAGGAGCCAGAGCATGAAGCAGAGTGATGGAATTCTCAACCCACAGAGCAAGAAAAGCTGAATGTTTCTGTGCACGAGGCTGGTTTACAGAATGGAGTGCACCTGGGCACTTAAGTGGGGAAGTTGGACTTGCTGACCCATGGAAGTGAAGTAAATGCCTTTGGGCTGTAGTTTACTGGAGTGGGGGTGCCTCTGGGCACTTAATTCAGGGAGCTGGGTTTGCTGATGCAAGGAGCTTGAGTGGAATGTCTTCAGGTGAGGCTTATAGAGGAGTGGTCTGCCCCTTCGGGCATTTATTAACAGACCTGAACCTTTGTGACATGTCCTGATAAACAAGTACCTTACCCCTTTCTAACTGGCACTACAACTTGTAAAACTATGATCTGAGTGCTATAAACCTTCACCTAATTCACAATAGTTTTAAAAATTTTAGACCACTACTGATTCTGCATCTTATTTTTACTCTAATAAGATTAACTATTTTTATGAATAGGAAATATAAGACTAACAGAATACTAACTGCCAATTGACTGATTAATCCAATGTAAAAAAATTCTTTTCTTTGCTATAAAAAGAATTTTTCATCTTATCCTATTATATTTCAAAAAACTGATAACAGAACTTTTAAAGGGACTATTTACAAAACCATCATCAAAACAAATCTACAAAAAACATGGAAGAATGTTTCTCATATAAAAATTACAATAATTAAATATCCTACAAGCTTAGTTTAAAATGATTATTTTTCAATGTTAAAAAACATGGGGATTTTCTTGTTATTGTTTCCTTTTTTATGTTGTAAGAATGGGTCCATCTGGACCAGGAGTTGGCAAACTTTTCAGACAGAGCCAATCCTATCCCTCAAAACAATTTAAAGATTATTCAAAAATCATAAATAGTTTTACAAATAAATAAAACCATATAAATAGCATCCTTTAAAAATTTTAAATGACACTAAAATTTTATTTTCATTTTGACTTTTACTTCAGAGCCATCTATACGTACTAAAAGAGCTTCATAGAGCTGGAGAGTCCCAGTTTGCCAACCCCTGACCTAGGGGCAAATAAGTCATAGTTTGTAAATAACGATTGGCTCATTATTAACTATTTCAAGCCAACTTCTTATTCAAATTTATCTTCATTTTCTACATGATCTAGGTAATTAAACAATCAATTTCCACATTTCAAGTGGGAAGTCTGCACATACTACTGTGAAAAGGTAGTCCTAACAGAGGAACTATATCCTGGGTTGTTCCTGGTACTTTCAAGTCGATCCCTATTTCCAGTTAGAACTTGCCACTTCTCTAATAACCTGGGTAATCGTATTATCTGAGTTCTATGTGGCCATTGCAATAAATTCTCAAGCCCAGCAGAGTACACAGTGCCACGAGAGGGATGGTTAGTGTCAGAATTGAGAAAAGGTCACAAAAGTGAGGGTATGTCCAAATTTTAACTCATAACACTCTCACTCAACCGTTGATCTTGATTTTCCTCCCCGTTTGTGAAGTTACAGGAGCTCAGTTATCACCCACACACCATTCTTACTTGTACCTTTTTGGATTCTAAACCACCCTGCATGCCCTTGTTCTGTTGAATTACTATTTCTGTGTACAAGATCCAAGATCCACAGGAGCACGATGAAAGTATGGAGTTAGCACTCTGCAATGTTATCCACAATTTATGATCCACACAGCCAAGTGCCTTTCAATAAAACAAAGGAAAATATTCTTCTGTTCAGTATTGGTATTCTTTGTTCCACATCCTCTTCTGAATTCAGCTAGAACTTCTAGCAGTTCCCTGGAGAGTACTGCTGCAACCATTTTTTTTTAATATATTCAACAAAATCTTACATGTGATCATCATACTATTTATTATTCAATAATTTCCACATTCTATTGGATCACTTTTCTTTGGACTGGGCACAAAGATGGATCTCTCCCAGTTGCTTGGCCAGGTAGCTAGCTTGCAAATTTCTTGGCATAGCCTAGTGAGTGTTTCCAGTTCTGCCTCAATCTGTTGAAACATTTCGACTGGTAGACAATGAATTTCTGGAGTCTTATTTTTCAGAAATCCCTTCAGTGCAACTTGGACTTTTCCTTCAAAACCATCAGTTCCTGATCAAATGCTACCTTCTGAAATGGTTGAGTGTCAAACAGTTCTTTTTGGCACAATGACTCTTACATATTCCTTCTATCTTCTTCTGATGTTTCCTGCATCATTCAATATTTTTTGCCCATAAAATCTTTTACTGTTATAATCAAGGCTTGCTGTTTTTTCCTGCAGTCCAGCATTATCAATTCATTTATTAAATGTTGGTATGAAACTAGAAACTATGCCACCAGTATTTCAAATAACAGCAAAATCACCCATGGTGATCGGGTTTCAGAGGAGCCTCCAGGCTTAAACAAAACAGGAAGGGCCCAGAGATCTACATCCAAAAAAACTGGTCAGTGAAAACCTTTATGAAATGAGTGCTGGTAGATAAGCCCCTCTGGATGAGCAACACTTAAAATACGACTGGAGAACAGCTGCTTCCTCAAAGTGAAACCAACCTTAATGATATGATATACTACCTTCCCATAGCACTCTAGTTTTCTGCTAGGTCCCTTAATTCACTACAAGGACCACACACAACTCACAGACAAATGCTCATGATTGTGGGGTTTATTAAGGAAGTGAACAGTTACAGTTTAGATGAAAAATGCTCAAGGTACAGTTGTTCAGTCAGGACATGTTACCAAAAAAATTAATTTTTTTAGGGCTGCCCCTAAAAACTTATTAAAATGCCACTCACTTCATAAAAAGCCTCAACCAGAAGGCTCTCAGTTCCCATTCCATGGGTCAGCAAACCTAGCTTCCCTAATTAAGTACCCAGAGGCACACCCCTCCAAACTAGTGTTTTGTCCCATAGCACTTGGCTTTTACTTGCTCTGTGGACTGGGAAGTGCACACAACTCTGCCTCATGTTCTGTTGTGCTGCTCTTCGTATGTCAAAGCCGTCTACTGAATGAAGGAGGTTCAATGTGCAGGGATCGCCAGGTCCTAAAGAACATGCTCCACTCCTAGCTCTTTTCTCTCTCTTGCTGGTAGTGAGATTCCCCTTCTGCTTCTGAGATAGTTCAACTTTATACCCAGCAGGATGGGAATCATTCACAGCTGAATCCTATAATCAGTACCTTCCCCCACCTTTGACTCAGACCCATCACGAAAAGGTCCTTTTGTAGGAGTTTTAGATACTGTGGTTAAGAGTCACATTATATAACTCGCTGCTCTGCAGAGGCAAGGCGGATGTAGTGAAACTTTGTGTACTTTCATTTACTGATGTGACAACTCAAAATGAAAAACAGCAGCTGCAAACATCCACTAATAATCATAATGTAAACTTATATAAAATATGAATCAAGAAAAACTGGAAGTTGTCAAAAGTGAAATGGAATGTCTGAAGATCAATATCTTAGCTAGAAATAAACTTGTATTGGCCCTTTTGAATCAAAAACATAGTTTACGATGTCTGGAATGACAAACTGAAGAGAAATGACATCATATTCGTCATCAAAAAGGACCCTGCAAATATCCTGAAATACAACACTGGCAGTGTTAGGCTAATATCCATAAGCCTACAAAGAAAATTAGCTAATATACTAGGTATACTTGTGTATAAGTCGAGTTTTTCAGCACATTTTTTAATGGTAAAATTAGGTGCCTCATCTGCTAATTCAGGTCGGCTTATACGCGAGTATATATGGTAACTATTATTTAAATTTCCCCCACTAACTACTAATGCCCAAAAGGAAGAACTTTACCATTTTTACCAGCTTCTACAGTCTGAAATTAACCACACATGCATTTGAGACTTGCTCATAATTACTGGCAATAGGAATGCAAAATAAAAAAGGATCTGAGCCAAACTAAACTCCCTACCATGGAATTAGTAGCGACTCATATCAGCCCCCTTGTGGGTGTCCAAGACTTTAACTATTAATGAGAGTAGGAAGCCTAGTCTTTCTCCTGAGGAGCTGCTGGTGGTTTCAAATTGCCAACCATGTGGATCACAGACCGACAAAATCAAAACTGGGCTTTCTACTACCGTCAAGTTAGTCTCAGAAACCCATGGGAGGTCACTATGAGTCAGCAGGAACTCGGTGGCAGTGATTTGGATTTGGAAAGGTGGATCTGGAAGTAGAAAATATGGTCTTAGTCTAACTGAAAAAGATGGCCTTGGTGACAGAAATAATGCCAAATACTGCATGATAGAACTTTGCAAGACCAATGACCCTAGCAGATATCTTTGTCAGCAATATACATGGTAAATTTAATCATGGACCTTATCAGATGGATAGGACAGGAATCAAATGAGCACAAAAGCATCAGTCGGAATAAGTCCAGAAGTCAACTGTTCACATGACACAGTTCAAGTGGAAGCTGGAAAAAATTACACGTAGTCCATCAAAGCCAAAATCCAGTCTTGAGTATGTTCCATTTGAATTTAAAGACCTTCTCATGAAGATATTTGACTCATTTAACACTAATGCCCTACAAAGACCAGATGAGTGGTGGGATGTCATAAAAGGACATCATCTATGAAGAAAGCAAAAAGAAAGAATGAGGTCAGTAAAAAATTACGGAAGCAGGAGGAGAAAATTCATTAAAAAGGAAAGAAGGAAAAGTCCAAATCTGATATCAGGAGAGACCCTAAAACTTATGCTTGAACAAGGAGTAACGAAAACAAATAAATGTTAAGTAAAAGCCAAAGAGACTTCAAAGGGCTAGCAAGGCAGAGTATTACAATGAACTGGGCAAAGACCTGGAGTTAGAAAACCCAGGGAAGAACACGCTAAGTGCCTCTCAAAATGAAGGAGCTGAAGAATACAAGCTGCAAAGTCCATACGGAAGTGTTCTATTCTAATACACAGTGTCTACTATTTACTAAGAAATTGGCTGTTTCTCTCAACACAAAATTGATTTTTTAATTTCCCCAATTCATAAAATTCCCACCCTCAAAATAATTTTTACCTGTATGTGCACAAATACACTATAACCCCAGAATCTTTTAACTATTAATTATAATTTCTCTAAAAAACTTACAGATTTTTGGTAAATCATTTGGAAGCAATGCCTAAGTTGAACTAATATGACATTTTTAACCCCTATTTCTCACTTAGGGTGAATATTCCTATATTTATCTTATAAATGTTACTGTGCTAAGAATAAATCCGTAATTGTTACTGTTTTCGGTTATGGGTGCTGCCTAACACGCAGATTTTCTAAAAACAACAAAAATCAAGACACTGTTGTTAGGTGCCATCAAGGAGTACTGGTACAAAATCACAGAAACCTTTACTAAACAAAATTCTCAAAATGTGAAGCTCTTCTTTCTCAGAATATCCTCCCCATCTAGGTCTACACACTTTGGAAAGCAGTGTTCTATCTCCCATCCTTCCCTGTAGAATGCTGCACTCTTCAATTTACACCACATCAAAACAGGTTTTAGCATCCTCAAAAGATTAAACCTGTGCTTCCTTTCAGTGTTCTTTGGGTTTTCAGAACAAAAGAAGTCTGAAGGGGCAAGACTTAGGCCAAAAGTGGATAGGGATAGGCTCCCAATGAAATGCTCACATTCTCAGAAAGCTACAAGGTGCTCTGCTGGGATGGGAAAAATCTGTGGCATAACTTTTCTGGTCATTCTCTCACCTATGCCATTTCCCTTTTTCTTAAGTCCACAAAAATATCCTGTTCATCGAGAAAATCTATCATAATTACCCCTTGGAGATCCCAAAACCCAATTGCTAAAATCTTCTCGAGCTGACCTATCATTTTTCAGATATTCCTTAAAACACTTGATCCATGTAAAAACTGTTGCTTTACGTGGGGAAGCATTCCAGTGAACTTGCTCCAAAGCTTCATGTCTTAGGAAGCTGTCCACTTAAATTTTGTTAAAAATCTGCTATTAACCCTACCCTCAAAATTGCTCCCCTGCAGCTTCACCATGGCACAAAAGTATGTTTTTGTTTTTGAAAGGCGCCAAAACAAGACAAAGACAAGTGCACTGCCAGATAAAGCTGTTATGAAAACTGTATTTAAATATGTTTATAATTTCTCACAGTGTCTGCAGGGCAACCAGGAGGCATAACTTAATAGGAGCTGTTATGCTTCTCAAGGAGCCTTGGCGGCACAGTGACCAAACTCGCAGCTGCTACCAAAAAGGATGGTCATTCAAATCCCTCAACGGAGGAAAGATGTGGCAGTGTGCTTCCAAAAAGACTGATATCCTTGGGAACTACCATGGGCAGTTCTACTGTCAATAGGGTCAATATAAGTCAGAATTAACAAAAATGGGCATGGGTTGTTTTTCTTAAAGAGTTTTGGTTTTGGTTTTTAGGGGGTTGGTAACTATTACCATTAATAGCTACCATATTTTATTTTTTATAACGCTTCTCATATTTAAGTGTGCATAAAAATCATCTGAGACTCTTATTATTTAGATTCTAAGACTTCATTCTAAAAGTTTTCATTCTGTAGGTCCAGTTGGGGCTCTCAAACACACATTTTGAATAAGCATCCTTAGGTGAGTTTCATACAAGCAGACTAGGGATGGATTCCGTCTTTGGTAGCAGAGCTGGAATACAACAACTGCTGACCTCCACTTGCTCCTATATACCTATCTTTTCTTCAAATATTTAATCAATCTAAAATGTATTCAGAAAAAGAAGAAATCACAAAAGAAAATATATTTGACAAGAAAAAAGTGTCCCTTACAAAACATTATAAAGTAAGTAAACTAAAATAAATGTCAGAGTACATGTGAAAAGTTCATTTATAGCATCAAAAGTCATCAGCAGAGAACTGCACTGAAACAAATGATAGTTTATGCAGAAAACTTTTAAATTAGATACGCAATTCAAACCAAGCAACATTATACAAAAGACTTCAAAATGTTTGTGGAAAAATGAAATTAAAAGATCACGGAAAATTTTTATGACCTTTTTCCAGCCCTACCATATATATATGCCAGAAAGAACAAAGAACCCCACTCCACGCCGCCCCCCCCCCAAAAGTAAAATCTGTGTGACTTGATTTATTGTGATATTCACTTTACTGCGGTGGGTCCAAAAGAGAAACTCCAACGTATCCGAGTTATGTCTGCACACAGTAAGAGACTGAAAGAAATACTCAAACACATTAAAGATACATGTCTCTGAGAGGAAAGATTAAGATGAGTTTTATTTCCCTGAGATTTGACATTGGTTTTATTGTTGATAGCAATGTAACCAAAAAATGGTTTTTATTTTAAGTGAGGAAACAAGCATATTTTAGCAATCTAAAGCCTGAGCTCTAGTCAGATGTCCTTGATTTAAATCCTGCAGTTTCCTAACCATGATCTAAAACAAGTTACTTAACCACAGTTCCCCTGTCTTTAAAATGGGTGCCATCATCATTTAAAAAATAATCAGTACTCGAGAAAAGCCAGAGATGAATCCACTTAAAATATGGACTAATGGAAACTGATTGTGGTAGCATTTGTACAATTCTACTTGACATGACTGAACTATGGAATGACACATGTGTTGAATCCCCATTAATAATAAATAAAAGCATAAAAAAATGTTCATCTAAAAAATTTTGGATGAAAATGTGTTATTATTGTAGAGGTGAGGTGTAAGAGAAATTAGGGCTTTTCCTTAAACATAAAAATGATGAAACTATCAAAAAAAATTATGAGACTATATGTATGTTCATAAAAGTTCATCTTCTATTGGATAAGCACTATTGACAGGAGGCACTCCATAGCAAGAGTGTACTGATTCACTTGGAAACACCAAGTACAAAAAAAGTGGTAATGTTGATAAAGTAGAATAAAACATACCTATAAGTTCTGGTGGACTTCTCTCATTAAATCGCTCACACAGACGAATAAATGTGTCAGTGTTCTCAGTTGTCGGGCACTCACCATGCCTAATATGAAAAAAGAATTTTTTTAACAAAAATAATTTCAATGAAAGTTTTTAATATGAAAGTCTTAATATTAAAACATGGCTTACCCTTTACACTGAAGTTTTATGTATTTGATTCCTTCTTTTTCTATATCGTTTCTGTCATAGAACCTCGAAGTATTTGTCAGGTCCACCAATAAGCCCATTTTAACCTTAAAAGATTGGGGGGGGGCAGATTAATTAGTAACTGAATTTGTTTCAAAATAGTTAGTTATAAGGAAATACTACATTACAGTTCATCCACATACATTGAGAAGCATTTTATGCTCTCTTTCCTACTGAACTATTAACAGCAAATATACCACTTATTTCTGATACAAGACACTAGAAGGTGGCAAGTATCCAATAAAATAAATGACTTTAACACCAAACTAAAAGGAGCGCTGGTAGCAAAGTGGGTTACACACTAAGCCACAAGCCATTATGAGGGAGAAGCATAGAGCTTTCTAATCTTAGAATTCAGAGCCTTGAAACCTACAGGGGCACTTCTATTGCTCTCTAAGTTCATTATGAGTTGGAAATGACTAGATGGGGAGGGGTGGTGGTGGTGGTGTGTGTAACCCCAAACTAATGATGGAATAAGAGCAAAAGCAAAATAGACTCTAGTGCCAACATCACAAAAACCGACCTAGCACTGAGTGCGCCTTGAGTTATGAGAACATTTTTGAGTTTTCTGCATATGGCTCCCCATTTATGATTAGATAAGAGGTTAGAATAGAAATGGCTTTGGGGGGAGGGGGGAGGGGGGAGGGAGGGGGAAAAATGCGATGACACCAGGGGCTCAAGCGGAAAGTGGGTGTTGTAAGAATGATGAAGTCAACATATGTACTAATGTGCTG